AAAGAGAAAGCGAATCTATGATTAGAAAAGTAAGATTTTCGCACATGTTCCAACAATAAATTGTTTCATTTCCCCTTCAATGACTGTTCGTTGCGCTTTTCCATCTTCCCACCTGCTCTTTTTTTCTGTCCGTTTTGTTCCGTCCTCCACATTTGCAATTTGCTCTTTTTGTTCCTTTTTTATTATGATACATATTTATTCCACTGTAAGGTGTGTATTTAAGTTGATTTGCTAAGGTATTTCCTCCTCCAGATACCTTCCCCATCATGCCACCGCCCTAGCCGGTAACTCTATGATCCTGACATATTTCGCGGTGTGGTGTATGTTAGGCTGAGTGCGTATGTGAGTGAGAGGGTAAGAGGAGATGTGAAATCAAGAAAAACGACGGAATTATCGCGTGCGGTCCTTAGCCCGTTTCTTAGGGTTGTGTTCCGGCATTCGGCTAGTATTGAAAGGAGAAACCACATAAAATTCCTATCAGAACTGCCGCCCGCTAAGAGTTTCCTCTAGACAACAGCTGAATTCAATGAACTCGTAGCTATAGAGCTAGTATCGAAAGTCAGCTACTTTCGGTGTTAGAAATTCATCGATGTCCCCCCCAGCCCGGTCTTTTGGCATCCTGATACATATGCATCAGCCCCCACTCTTCACACAGCAGAGGTTCATAACTATAGCGTCTGGTGCAGGGTTTCAAACAGGGCCAGTATCTACCCCCCGGGTGTCAATGATATTTTAAAGGGGGTCAATGACAATACGGGGGTCGATTGGGGATCGTTATTCAAATATGAACCTAAGACTAATAAGTAAATGAGTCATAGAGATCAAGATAATTGATTACTAAGATATTTATGAATTTTGTTTTCATTTTTACTAATATAAATCTCAAAAACACAATTACATTACATATTCGCGCACATTTTGGAATTTCACACCATTCACATTAATAGAATAAACCTTGTGCGGAATTATAATTTGTGAAACGTGTCTTTATTTCAAGTTTCATAATAGTAATACAAAAAGTTAAAAAATCTAATAACTTCTCCCAACCTTGTTCATATTAGTTTAATTGTTATCTTAAAGTAAGTTATGTTAAATTATTTTATTGAAATGATTTCGTATGGTGTATATTGTAGAAAAAATTGAAGAAGGCAGATGAAGCAAACCATTGTTTTAAAAGGGACCGAAGCAATAAGAAAGGTTGGGTACCCCTGCTTTAATACATACATAGGCGCCTGCGATCTTCGGGATCCTAGCAGCACTTGAAATATTTCATATTTGAAGAGGAAAGATAGCGCACGTCGTGGTTCGTGAATCCATTGACACCTTGTCAGCGCTTTGCCCACCCTGTGCGTAGGTAGATCAACTCTTACCATCTCCCTCTATACTTCTAATCTTGGGAGAGTGGGATGGGAAGGAAACTTATTTCTTTAGTGGTACTTGGCAGTTTGGATAAGCGTCGATCATGCCAGAAGACAGCATTCATGCGCATCGAACTCGATACCATTCGTGCTGAGTCTTCTATGACATGTCCGTGTTAGCAATCTCAGCTCCTCAATCCGACAAAATTATATTCCGTCATTGACGTTCGTCCAATATTTGTCCATAATTTATCATGAATTGTACACCACAGTGTTCACTCAAGTAAAAATGAACTTTGAAAATTCTACGTAATTTGATTTCTTTACATATTTACTTGCACTTCGTACTCGAGAAGCAATCGTTTTTTCGCCTTTTCGCGTGAATGTTCGCAAATAACATTTGATTCCAAATTCAGTTGCGCAAGCATTGATGACTACACCACGCTTGCCTCTCGGTTTTCGTTTATAGCAGTATTTAAAAATGAAATTATCATGAGACTAAATTTGAACCACTTATTTTAATTGTAAAAATACTGTACAAGTTCATATCTTCTGCACGTTAACTTATTGAATTCATATTTGTGGATGAAATTGAAACTTCTTGTCTAGGGATTACATTTCAATATTTCTCAGGTTAATTCCGTGTGATATTCAAAATTGTATATATCCATTGCATTTCTTCATTATTTTGTAATCAATCATTTTAGAAGGCAGATAAATAATAACAAAAATATTGAAATAATTAGAAGTACAATTGTGTTCTCGGCATTCGGTATGATTACAAACTGAGAAGTAGTGGGATTCATGGTTAGTTCCCTAGTAGCACGGATAATTTATATACAAATATAGTTAATACAACAGAAAAAAACAAAATAAGTTCCATTTAATGTAGTTAAATAATTATAAAATTGCTTTGGTATATTTTTGTCATAAACGTATAATGTCTTGAATTAGTATTATTTCTTCTAAATACTGTTTAACTTCTTCATTGTTTAACGGGGAAAAACAGACTACGTTGCTGGTCCTCTTGTCTCCAAATCTTTTCTTCAAGTAATTGCTTTACGGTCTTTATTGTTGGGTTACCCCACTTTGTTCCTTCTGTGATTACGTTGCCTTTCGTTATCCGCTCGTTAATGTGCGAGCAGCAATGAGCCAAGTGGGGCACAGTGGCGACGGCGCACCTCCCGGTGGCGCGGCGCGGAGTCTGCCTGGCGGCTTGGGGCTCCCCTGGCCTGGATCGAAGCTGGCCAGCGGCGTTTGGGCCACCGGGAGAGGTGGCTCAGGACATCAACTGAGTGCCTCTGACCGGGAAGTCCTACGTTCGAGTCCCCACGGTGGCAGGATTTTCGACTTTAACTAGTTATCTGGGAATCGAATTCGATGCGCTAATCTGGAGATTGACTGCTCTGATTGAATTGAATGAATTGAATTGGAATTTGCCTCTAGTTACGGGCGAGACTCGTGCCATCAGCCGCTCTTCCGCTCGACCACGCAAATTTCGCCTAGCGCTCCGTTCACCAACTAGGAGAGAACAGGCGAAGAACGGCGATTATGAAAGCTTGCTAGAGCGGTCATTTAGCTTGAGGCATCTTTTACATGCAGTAAATCTACAGTAACAGTGGGACAGCCGGCCTTTACTCCCCTCCGAAGAAGGCATACGAAGAGTTTTTTCGCCCTTAAAAATCCACGGCTTCGATCGGGTTGAGCCCGCAACTTGCGGGTACAACAGGTCCAGTACGCTAACCGTTTACACCATCGATCAGATGTCGCTGCGGATCAGTAATTTCCCTATTTTCTTTCCATTTAGCGAACGCCTAACAAAACGGGCTAGGACCCGCGCAACATATTTCTTTCCTGCTTCCTTGTCCTATCATGCAGCCCTCTTCTACACATACACTTACACGCCACTAAACTCCCACAAATGCCGGGAAGACCGCTCCGTCTTAGCAGCTTGCTTCCGGCCGCGCCGGTTGAGGGTACATGAATTGCGGGAATAAGTCCTACTAACCGACGCGTAGGTCGGCGCCGGTTCTGTCCATTCAGCAGGGAAGGATCACCGCCACCTCCCGAGGAAACACATACACTTCACTACGGAACCAGCACTCAAGAACACAATGCACGGATTATTATGATGTGCGAATGCCTTCTACTACATTGTTCCACAGCGCAGAATGCCCCAGCTTCACGGATACCACGCCGAAGTTTGTGAAACTACTAGAACAGATCAGGCGCATCTTTCGATGTCATTTAATCTGATTTCGAGTTGGAAAATTGACTCGCAGAGATTAGAAACCATTGTGTATTCACCAACACTAACATGTGCTTCAATGTTGGCGAAATTTTGAGAATTTGGTTGTAATATGACGTCCGACGCTATCATACTAATTCGTTTTCTCTCTCTTTCACCAACCTCGAATATTAGATTACTGGAATTTCGTCGGTGGAACTGAATTACATCTTGAAGAAGTGTATTGTTTAGATAAGTGATGTTTAAAAGTAGTATATTTTACTAGTTAAACAAAAGTGCGTCCAACACGAATAATTCCCAGACAAGAAAATACTAAGTAACACATTCTTGCATTTTGCTAGAGGCGTTAGTGTTCTGCAGCAGAATGAAATTTTTTAGATTGTGTTGTTTTCTAGTGCACACATATACGTGTGTCTGAATCGACCCACAGTAAAATGTTCAAACAGGTCACTTTCGCACGCGTTGGTACCGATGAGCCAATCCCAGATAAATGTAACCGCAAGGGTGTTGGTGTCGTCGTGGTGTCGGAATATGCGTCCCATCATGGACCTGAAAAGGTTAAAGAGCTGGTTGGATGATAAAAGTCCTGAGAAAACAATCCACATGGGAGCGATATGGTAAAGATTTACGTCACCCAGGGCACATTGATAAAATTGTAATGGGCATAGACGTTAGCATAAGATCGCTGGCATCAACGGAGAGAGGGGCTGAAGGCATCAACTGATGTCACTGCAATGCCTCTGGCGCTGCCCCCTGCGTGGGAGATATCTGGTTGGGAAATTCCCCGTTAGCCGGACAGTAGGTTGGCGCCGCGATGTCACCATCCAACGGGGAATGATCACCGCCTCGATGAAAGCAATGCTCTAAAACTTAGCGGGACTAATGACTTTAGCAGGTGATGCGCGCCGAGTGACTAATTAACTAAGGGAATGGAAGGAGACGTAAGTGGCCGCCCGCAGCGTCGCCGCTGGTGCGTGTCGCCATCGGCTGGATGCTGCCGCCGAGCCCCTCCATCGGCGTTGCGCGCACGCGCGGGAGGGAAAGGAAGAGAGAAGTACGAGGAGGGGAGGGGCGGACGAAAGGAGAGAGGGGGGGGAAGGGGGGACGGGTGCGGTAGTAGGACGAGCGCGCTGGGCGGTGCGGCGAGGCCGTCTCGCGCCCCGCGCCGTCCCACCGCCGTGCCGGCCACCTCGAGGTGTGGTGCCCACGCCCTCCCCGGGCCGCCCCTCCACCCCACGTCCACCTCCCGCCGCGCCCGCGGGCTCCTCGGGGACGACGACTGGCCGCCGGTGTTCGGGGCACCGATCGACCGGAAGCCGTCGTCGCCCGCGACGGACGCCCGCCGCCTCGGCGACCTCCCCCCGGCGCTTGCCGGCGCGTGCGGCGGCGCGCGCGCGGCGACGGGTTGAGCCAGCACCGGTCCCTCAAAGTGTCTTGTGGACGAGACTCGATGAGAGACGCCATTAAGGACATCAAGTCCAAGAAGAAGACAAGAGACGGGCAACGTGCCCATCGGCGTCAGCACGTGGGTGGAAGGCAAAAACTGAGGACCGACATTCCTATTGATCCACGACGGAGAAGGCATTACAATGTAAGTTATCTTCTCTTTCTGCTCCTCTTTGAGTTGTTCTGAAGTTGTGTTGAATTAATTACTGTAGATATAAATACACTAAGTAGTTCGTAATTTAGTTGGTACTAGTAGTTGTCAGTCGCTCGTCTACAGCACATACTCCGATTTAAACATAGTGGTACTTCAATATCACGATCTGGGAGGAGATGGGGAATTTTTCATCCAATCAGGACCTCAAACACAGAAAATTTAAGACGTAACGAAATTCCCTATTAGATTACAGTGTGCCCTTCACCTTCCAACTCGTGATCTTGAAATTCTACTATGTTTAAATACCTCTATGTTTAAATAGTAATTACGTCGATTGCATTTACTTTGCAAAATAGAAATTTTATATACTATGCATTGCCTTCTTTAGCCAAGTTACTAATGTTAGAAATATGTCTAAGTGCTGTAAGTACTCAGAATGTATAAATTGTTTTATTATTTTGTGAAATTAAAATCATTTATATTAAAAGCATCAACATGAAATGCACTAATATGAATATTAAATGCAAATGTCTTTAAAGAAAATATAATTTCAAAAATTAGATGTGTTTAATATGATACTAATTCAATGTACGAGACAGATCAAATTAACGATCAGGCGGTATCACATTATTGATCACATCGATATAGTTAAATTACATCCATCGATGCCTCATTTTCTGTCACTTCTATATAAGTGTTCTAAAATTTGCCCACTTCAAATGATATTTCAGAGGTTTTCTCGCATTAATTTGAAATATGTACCGAAGGAACTGTGCTTGAGAAACTGGCGAGAGTTCCACAGTCCGTGTAGTTATAGAACCGTGTGGTCCCTCGTCTACAACGTCGAGAGTGAATACTGTGACACCGGCATCATAGCGAATAGAGCCGGAACCTGAAGAACACATGATCTCAACGTATTTTAAGTGTAATATACAAAATGTAGTTAAAATAATCTGCACTTTAAAAGCCTTCAATAAAATGTGTAAAGTTTGAGAAGCACACGTTTTTCAAAATGCGCCATTATACTTCAATTTCGCGTACTTCGTACAAGAATGAACATACAAGAATATATTAATGTATTTGAAGTAGTAGAAACGGATATTTCATACCTTTTAGAAACTTCGAGTAAAGTCCGATTGTTTCAAAGACTATATTTATCGAGAGCAATGCGAATTTTCTATTTATTCTTATTAATACGATGTCGGTATGTTTGCAGTTCAACTACGACATGCACCATGACTACTCCGGTATCTCATCCCCTGCACATTTTGGCAGCATCACCCCTCATCCTCTCTACAAGACGGTGCGCACCAGTGACGTGCCAGTGACCTTCTGGAACGTACCCTTGGGCAGCGAGTCTCTGCTGGTCCACCGTCTGTTGAAGTCACCTCCAGCGAGCAATGAACTGTACCCGACGCCAATACCCTCTTACTGGCGTCCGACGTACGTGAACGGCGGGTCTCACAACCAGGGGGCTCGCGGCCCCAACAACCGTTACCCGGGCGTTTATCGCTCCGTGGTGCACAAGCGACCCTTCCAACCTACTCCTTCACCTTCTCCCGGTTTCTATGGGGGTGTGCACCCCCGCGTCTACCCCCAGCCGCCAGGTCCCACCAGCGGGGTGTGGTGTCCCCCAAGGTCTCCGGGTTGGCCCTCTTCCCGCCCTGTGTACCCCACGAGTACTTCCACCACCTCGACGAGGCCTGTGCTCAACGTGAAAGACAAACTCGATCTTGACGACGCGGAAGAGGACGACAAAGGGGAGGACGTCAAGAAGACTCCTCCCGGAGATGTCAAAATAATTGGCAAGGTTGGATTAGACGATTTTAGGAAGTGAACTAAGGACATTTTTAATTTTATTTGGTAATATAATATATTCAATAATTGTGCTTATGTATATTGAACTAAATCATAGAGAAATATAGTCCATAAAAGTAGCTTTTGATTTACGATTTATCTTCTTTTTCATCTTCAATTTTTAAACATCGAATTTATAGGGGAATGAATTATTCCCGCTGTGTTTACCTATTTCATGGCTATCAATAGTTCTCTTCGTTGGAAGGTGGAGATAACTTTTTTATTAGAGCGAATTTTAAGAGACTGGCATTCTTATGGCATATATCAACTTTGCTGAAAGGCCGATTTCAGCGAATACTGGAAGTCTTAGATTTTGCAGAACTACCCAGTTCTAATACGTATTGAATATTCATTTTCTAACCTTCTGCCACGAATTTTATTAAAACATTATCTACAAATTTCCATTTATTTCTTAGAGAATTAATTTTCCCCGGTACACTTACTGCAATGTTTCGAATAAGCATTTAACAACTGCAAACAACTAATCGAGTACCATTATCAACATCATAACAAACATTGTGAAGATCTAGAGTCTTGAGGTTTTAGATCAATGATCATCCTTTAAACTCGTGCCTTAAACAACCAATCGTTTATTCACTACCTCCCTTCAATACTATTATGGAATCTGCGAGCGTGGTACGGTATCAATTATATCTTAATGACTGTGGCTATTGCCTTCATGCAAGATATACTAATCGTATCCTAATTTGTTTGCTAATTTATACATTTATCAAAAGCGTATTAGCATTTTACAGATATCCAAATATTATTTTATCAAAAATCGGGTAAATAAGTTATACCTAAATAATTTTAAAGCACTCCCGGTTCCTTATAAATTTCACATATTTCAAAAATCTTATAACTATAACTTGAATTAAGTTTTACTCGGTACTACAGTATACTATGGCCTAAAATAAATAAATCCAGAACAAAATAATTTACATTCAATTGGCACGAGGATTTGTTGTGACTAGGAAAAGGATTCTGAGGTGCAAATTACGGTAGTAAAAGGGGTAAAACGTTCCTGAAAATTCATACAAAAATATGCAAAAAAGGTGCTGTTGAAACAACTGCATTAAGGTTTAAACTTTAATGTACCCAGTTTCTAGAAAGTACGCATCATTCTCCACCAAATGTTTGTTCTTTGTAGAGTCTGTAAGAGGTGACTCGTAGTCCTTTATCCAACACTGTAGTAGAGAGAAAACCGTTATACAATTGCCAGTACTGACTGCAGGTACTTTCCCTGCGGATCGCGTATTAGAACGCACATGGCAGGTGCGTCAAACTGCGCGCGCACGAGCACTTGTTCATGGGGGAAACTAGTCTCTTGCGGGCACAGGTAACATCCCTGACTCCCCCTTTCCTTTCCCCACCAAATCCACAAGCGCTGCCAGTACTTTCCGAGTATTGATGGCGACACTTTTGCAAAGGTAAACATTTTCCTCTACACACCTATTTAAATGTACTGATTTGCCTGTCTGGGCAGCGCTTTAAATCTAGCGGGAAAGGGTTAAAATGTTTCGGCAACGCTATTGAAATTAACATTACACTTCACAGCTGCAGATTGACCATTGTTGCTGGGATATAAATTACTGGTGGTTTACGTAAAAGATATTTTAATATTTAAGTAATATTGTTAACTTCTAATTAAATGAAATTGTAAAAAGCTGATAAGAGAAAAACATCTGTCCAATCGTTTAAAAACGCAGAGAAAAAGGAGAAAAGGTGCTGAAAAGATGCAAAAACAGAAAAAATGTGGCAAGATGTAGTAATATCATGAAAAGGTGCAACAAAGTGTGTTCATTTCGCATTATTTCATCCCCCAAATACATATATAAAACTATGGATACAGCTATATTTTTGAAAAGGTGCCGAACCTTAAGATTCTTTCCCTAGTTATAACAGTTTACAAAGTTAGATATGTTCAATGCTCATGTATGATATTATATACTATATAAGAAAAGGATAAAATATACAAAACAATTACGCTGTTTTTATCCCTTCAAGGTGATTTATTTAATCGAATTATTATTAATAAAATTCTCCACTGTCATTCAATTTATACTGATATAAAACATAAAAGTGTTTCATTTTAGTCAAAACGCGAAATGAAATTGACCTTAATGAATGTTAATTAACGTTTTGAATTTAATATCACTTCTACTCATTTTAAATTATTATGTGTAGAGGAACGGATCACCAAGAGCAAATACAGTAATTAAATAATAGTTGGACTCTCTGAATCGTTCACCAGTGAATAACGTCCAGAAAAAAGAGTAAAGACTTAAAATTCAAAGTATTTTTAACCGTTAAAATTAATGTTAATAATTGTTTTTTACCTACAAAGAGAAAAAAGTTTCATTATTCTTTATTAAATAATCAGTAATTCAATAGATTTGAAAATATATTCGTAGAGTAGAAAATATTAGCGAATATGATCATTAATTCCGACTTCCTTTTGCAAAGTAGTTTTTTAGTTCTTCTTAAAATTGTGAAAGACTGGATCAATTGAAGAGTAAATTTTTCTCTACTCGCGTTAACCTTTTGCTTTTCCAAACTGCCTTCAGCGACTTAAGCTCCAATTAAACGCCATGGGTGGTAAGAACCCAAATAACTGAAAGGATGTTCAAATGTTCATGA